CTCTCTCTCTCTCTCTCTCTCTCTCTCTCTCTCTCTCTCTCTCTCTCTCTCTCTCTCTCTCTCTCTCTCTCTCTCTCTGTGCGTGTGTGTGTGTGCAGTCAGGCATGCTTGAACTTGGAACTGTCCATTTGTGTGTGGAAAATTTGTGTACTCATTGAGTCATTGTTCTTCCTGTCTGTTCACTGGCATTGCAGAATTTATGTGTGAACCTGTTAACGGCAGCAGAAGTACAAGGAGGTTGACGAAGCAGCGTAGAGAAGAGAAGAGGCCAACCGTCATCATCATGAAGCCGGCTGTGACAATCGCCGCCCTTCTGGCCATAGGGCTGGTCTTGTTGGCTGTCTACCCACCCACCGTTTCTGGTGGCTGGTTAGCATGTAAGCCAAACACCGACCAGAACGCACATACGAGGAATAAAATCGACTGCAAAAAATATCCGGGTGCAGCTAGCGTGGATGGGTGCAAAGCGTTGTGTGACGGCGACGAGAAGTGTTGGGGAATCGTTTACGCAGACTACTCCTGGCCAAGTGGCAAGTACTGCTGCTTCCTGAAAAGTAAAATTAAGTCTAATCTGTTTCAAAACCAACCGGGCCGGACCGTCTGTGAGTGGGTTGCATGACAGAACAGCTGGATTATCGGGTGGCACTGTGGTGTTGCCACGCTATCCACTGGTAATGCCAGCTGCACTCAAGAACAGCGAAGCACACGAAGCAAAGCAAGAAGCACCACCGGGATAGCAGCACCAAAGTGTAGTAGTATAAATGGTACTATCATCACGATGGGACACTTGTCTAGGTCAGCTGCACTGCTGCAGTTACCAACTGCCATTTATCTGCGAGGGCCATTCTTTAGCAAGTCCTAGACTACACGAGATTTGCAAGCAAGTTGATAGAGAGTATTGAATGGAGTAAGCTTTAAGACAAGCGAAGTAAGGATGCTAGACATTGCTAGTTCCTGCAGTCACGGGGACGCAAATGGCAGGCAGAACACAGTGTGGCTGCTCCAGTTTTCCTGTTGGCTGACCTGAAGAGCGCCTGGTGCCGGGAAACGACTGTTATGACTGTTAGTTGCTCCTATATTGTTGCAGCTCTGCAAGAAGTTAAAAAGGCGCCTCTCGTTTTTACTGTACAGTGTACTCTCTTGTTGCGTGGTTCGCCTCCTCCTCCTTCTTCTCGCCTTCTTCTGTATGTCATTCCTCTTGCCTCCAGCTGTCCTTTGTCCTGATCATCGGAGTTTCACCTCCCGGACTATCACAGCGGTGGATTAACACCGTTTTCAAAAGCTTGAATGATGCCTCAAGGGTTTTGGCTTTGGCTACAAACTGCTATGCTGAACGTGAACACTATAATACCTCAGGGATTTTTTCTTTTTGAAAAAAGATCAAAATAAAAAAGAAAGGGATGTGCTCAATGCTCATTGGTCATTTGCTAACATGACTCTGCAAGAAAACAGAGGGTGCTTTGGCATTGTGCCTTGATTATGCTACTTTCATTACGGTTTTGGACTCTTTTGGTTTGTCTGAACTTTGCTGTTCGAATAGTACTTGTTTTATATTTTTCATCTTCAAGTTGACGTTCTGTTTCCAGGTTTCTCTGGCAGGAATCACATAAATAAACACTCAAAATGTCAAAGAAGATACTGACATGCAAGCCAGTTTAAAGAAATAGGAAGTGAGAGGAAGGGGACAATGAGGACAAGCATGTGAAGACAGAACAGACACTGTCAGGCATCCTCCGCAGTCTGCAACCAGGGGGAGGCCGATAAACCTGAGAAATGCAGGGCTCATTCTTAATCATTAGCTCCAAGCACGAAATTCAATGGTTCTGAAAATCGCAATTCAATCGCTCCCTCCAGGCATCGAAAATGCAACCTGCTGATTGAAAATCAAAATGATTACCACAAGGCAAAGCGAACTGGGATGAAACTTAAGGCCCGAAATGAGCACTTAACCCCACCCCAGCATGGCCAGTACATCACATACAGCCATGACCCAGTCACCAGTGTACCCAGTCACATCAACCAAGTAAGTACCACTCCCTAAGCCGTAGGTCAAGGGGGTTTGCATGCCGACCAACACGGGTATAATTTCCCGGAATCCCGGGAGCTCAAAGCATGCTGCATTGAAGCTCATTTCTCCAAGCGTGAAATTCAAAGGTTATGAAAATCACAATTCAATATCTCCCTCCAGGCATCGAACCTGCAATCTGCTGATTGAAAGTCAGAATGCTTACCACAAGGCAAAGTGAGCTCGGATGAAAGTTAAGGCCCGAGATGAGCACTTAACCCCAACCCAGCATGGTCAATACATCACATACAGCCATGACCCGGAGTACCCAGTCACATCCACCAAGTAAGTACCACTCCCTAAGCCGTAGCTCAAGGGGGTTGCATGCCGACCAACCCAGGTATAATTTCCCGGGAGCTCAAAGCATGCTGCATTGAAGCTCATTCTTAATCACTGCCTCCAAGCGGGAAATTCAATAGTTCAGAAAATCGCAATTCAATCGCTCCCTCTAAGCATCGAACCTTCAACCTGCTGATCGAAAATCAGAATGCTTACCACAAGGCAAAGTGAGCTCGGATGAAAGTTAAGGCCCGAGATAAGCACTTAACCCCACCCAAGCATGGTCAGTACATCACATTGACACATACAGCCATGACCCGATGTACCCAGACACATCTCTTTGCTTCCAAGGACAAAGAGAAAAGAGAACGATCATAGTAATCTCTCTCTTTCTCTCTCTCTCTCTCTCTCTCTCTCTCTCTCTCTCTCTCTCTCTCTCTCTCTCTCTCTCTCTCTCTCTCTCTC